ATTATTATTATTATTATTATTATTATTATTATTATTATTATTATTATTATTATTATTATTATTATTATTATTATTATTATTATTATTATTATTATTATTATTATTATTATTATTATTATTATTATTATTATTATTATTATTATTATTATTATTATTATTATTATTATTATTATTATTATTATTATTATTATTATTATTATTATTATTATTATTATTATTATTATTATTATTATATTATCAAATATTTACATCAAGTGGTGTGAAAATTTAAATAATTTTTTTTCGAATAAAAACAGCTTTTTAGGCTATCCGCAAAAGGGAAGAAATATATAAATGATATAAGGAATTAGCATGAGTAAACAATTATGTAGCGAAGATTGTCAAAGTTGTCAAAGCTTTGATTACTTGTATATATTTTACTATCAACCTTATTTTTCCAAACCTTTTCCTCACTCTCTTAGTACATATTCTATTATTAACTCTAATTTTGCCTTCCGTATTTTTGAACTTAACTCGCAGAAAATTTGAATTGTCACGAGAAAGATAAATTTAGGCTTCTTGCAGTGTTAGTGAGATCAATGTGATTTGTTTACTTAATATCGATAATTTCATGATAGATATATTTGGGCAAGTACCTTTGCTCTAATTGCATCAGATTAAGGCGACACTCTTTTATCGGTAAGGTATATTTGACAGTCACATTTTATTCTTTTCTTTTTTTTTCTCCTTTCCTTCTCCAAAATAATTTAATAATTTCGAACTATTTCAAGTAATTACGCTCAATATCTACTTCTCATCTGTTACTGTTTATCAAACTCTAAATAATGCATCTTTGACTGTTTTAATTTTATTTATTTATCGATTATTTATAGTTTATTTAATATTTGGATGTTCAACTCAATCTTTTGACTCATTTATTTAGTGTCTGAATAGGTGTCGTTATTCACGATATCATCAGAAATCAGAAGGAACAATGAAATCGAGGTGAAGTTCAGACATTTCTTTTTCCACAGAATTTGTATACTTACATTTTCCAAATCTGTAAGGTAGAATCAATGAAATGCTTGTCTGACCTTTGATGACTTCAAAAAAAATGTTTTTCGCCAGATGCTGTAGTCTGTCATATATGCATAGCGATCTTTTTATATCTATTTGACCTTTTAGCATTCTATTCCTCCCAAAGTTCTGTTTTCATATTGTGTTATTTCACCTTTTTTCCTCATCCGAGTATAAATATGACAAATTACCGGTCCCTTGCAAGAACTTCGTTTTTTTTCCCCCGCTTAATTTATATTTTATTTTATGATATATAGTTGGTAATCAATTATTTTTAAAACGTTTTCATTACTTTGAAGAGTATCTCTTTACGTTCTTTCCACGCAATACTAACATTGGTTATCATATTTTGTTTCTTAATTACTTATAACCTGAGGTGATTGTTTTGTGATAGAAGGAATTAATATTAGGAATTGGAAGAGTTATCTCTACTTACGATATATGCGATGGATTTATGATAAGAATATGGAGAAGATACATATCATGAAAATGTATCTCTATTTGAGGGAAGCAGATGGAGAAGTTGATAATTCCTAAGGAAGAACTCCATAAACAACGAAAACTTTTTTACCTGAACGAATTGCAAGTTATTTTTAATTTTGCTTTAATTAGAAATTAATTTTTAGGAAATGAGTGATAAGTGTGGAGTACACATTGTTTTCCATCTTATTTTACCTAAGTAAATACTCATCTATGTAAATACTAACCAACATTTATTTAAGTATTTCGAGATTGAACCCTTTCACGTAATGCTAAGCTAATTTATAAGGGAATGAAATGAATGAATGCTTTCATTTTATCAATCTCTTCGTAGCATTTTTTCTTATATCACAGAGGTCATTCGGTGATTTACTCGCCTCTCTTGTTCATCGATTAATCATCCATTTTTGCTAGCTACGCTATGAACCCATTTCTTCTTCCTGTCATAAATTGTCATACTGATGTCTCTTCTCCGGTTTAACATGACATCTTATCCTGCTTTGGCTTCCTGACTATTCATTGCAAGTTCACTTATTTATCGTTCGCTATTTGTTTGCTTTGTTTTTTTTCTCAGCAAATGTAATACTCTCACTATAATGAGCAAAGGTAGGCTACAATGTCTCCGAAAAAATGAACAGAGAAATGTTTTAGGCTCTTAATCTTGATATCTTCAATGTAAACTTATAAATTATATCTTTACTGGTTACCTTTTACTGTTAAATGTTTCCAAAAGCTTTGCACTTTTCCCGTTAAATAAAAGGATATGACCTTGCTTTGCACCTTTACTAATTTTTATCATTACAGGTTGTTGTTTCATACTAAAATACTCTCCTATGATCACCAACATGGAATTAAAGGTAAATTCTTTATTTTATGTATTTGACTGAAATTAATATATTTAGTTTTCCTTTTATTTAGCTTTTTCAATTTTCCTGTTAATTGAAAAATATGAAAAGTTTCCGATTTATTTGAATAGTTTTCAGTAGGTTTTTATTAATGAAGAGGAAAGATTTTTTAGTGATTATAATTTGAAATTAATTTAGTTATTACCAGTACTAATCAAATTGGAATCAATGCAAAATATATTAATCAATGTTTAATGAATATTGATAATATGGAGTGCTATCCTTCATTTCATTGTATTTAGTATTGTGAATTTTGCTTTAATAATAGTAGCAAAAGCTTCCTGTATCCAAACTGATAAGCAGATATGGCTACTGCTGATACCTGTATTCAAACTGATAAGCGGGTATGGTCTGTTGGTGGTACAATTACTGATAACTTACAGAACTCTTGTAAGCGAGTTCTTAATAAATAGCACTAATTTGACTTAAATATTCTATTCGATGTTATTTGAAGGCAATGTTTCCTTTTATTTGCTTTTTTTTTTCACCTCAATTTTCAACAGTCAAAATATTAATTTAATTTACTTCTCACGTCTGTTCCATCTACAGTAGTGGGATGTTAGTATAAATGTAAATGAATTCCATTTGTTTTATTTAATTTACTTATTTTGCAGCATTTTAAATACAAAAAAACTTGATTCAATTTTCTAGACAGGAAAGAAGAAGGCGAGAACAAGAGAGAGGAGAGACGATTGGTAAAACACCAGAGGAGTGTCGTGACTTTGGATTATGGGAAGGTGATCTGCTTTCTCAACAGGAATAATAAGGTTAAAATATATTTTGCGTATGAGTGAGAATGGAATGAGCAAGATGGCGGGAAGGTAACAGGTGCACAGGTAAGTATGGTTTATAGGTAGATGTAAGACTTGTGTATTCTCTGTGGGCACAAAGACAATAGCTAAGTGGTAGGAATTTTAGAATGACTTTATAGATCATAGCTTTTAACATGGGTTTTGTAAATTTTAACTTTTTCAAATATTTCCGTTTATTGCAAATTATATTACATTTATGGAATTATTATCGTATTGCATTTATTGCAAGTTTTTTTCTTCTTTAGAAATATATCATTGTTAGGGGTGATACTAAGCATGACGAAGCTGTTTCGTTCGATCTCAAAATCAGAAATATCTTTCGGAAAAATAGTGATTCTTGAAGGAATTGATTACATCCTTTTTATTTGAGACAGATTTTTTCCTTTCTAGGATTATATTTTTAAACGCTAACGCTATTATTATTAAAGATGTTTCAAATTAAAAAATCACTTGCGGGAACCTGAGTTTGAAGTTCAGAAATATTCAATTTTGGACTATAACTACAGAAAAATCATCTTTTGAAATAATTCAAAATAATGCGTATATAATTTAAGGTTAGAATTTTAGTTTTGTAATTAAACATTTTCACTTATTCATATAATAATCGACATCAACAACTTGAAAATCGATTACCGTTTCGTACGTAATTCATCAGAGATTAGTGGACAAGCCCAAATACAATCTGAATTAAAAATAATATAAAAATAAGTATCCAAATGAATATTTACATTTCATATATGAATAACATCCAGTCAGTGTAGAAGTCTGAATAAAGCTACAACAGCACAAGTGACCTAAGGTAACAAGTACTTTACTTCTATTTCTACATTTGATACTCTGCAATCAATCATTTCTTGGTCATATCCAAAAGCGTAGGATATTTTGATTAAAAGAAAACTGATTCGTTTCAAACTGGTTAACTACAGTTTTACCTGAAACATCATTCGGTGGTTCTAGTGATTTCAGCTGATGTTACGAAAACTGATGGCTTATCCGTAATAAGCTTGCATGAAAAATAACAGAATTATTGATCATTGTTGCTGGTTTAACCGACTACTGTGTGTATTCGATTAATCGATTATTGTGCTCATTTGATTAATCCATTATTGTGTTTATTCGATTGTAAAATTGATTTATTCATCTTCATTCTACTTTCATTTTTTCTTCTTTAATTCTTATATTATTTAACTATTATTTGATCATATTTCGATGATAATTTTCTCGATATTTTACTTTAAGTATTAAATTTCAGTAGCGAAGTATTTTTTGTTTATGTCTGCATTCGTCAACCATTATCGATATGAGCAATTGGTTTTAGAGCAGGGAATAACAAGTTTTTTTTTCAGTTCTTCTTTCTTTTTTTTCTTTTTTGTATTTCCATGGTGTATTTAAGGAGAATACTCGTAATAACACCGATCATTTGTCTCTATTCCTTCGTTTTTCTCCATTTTTTTCTTTTTTTCATAGCTTTTTTCCCCTTTTCCTTGTGATGATGATGACAGTTTACAAATATGAAGAATGATGTTGGCAAATTTGTATTTCTTTTATTTTTTACAAACCAATGTTAGAGAATGTAATTTATCATTGCATTAGCAATGATTTATTCAAAGAGTAAGAATGTGAAGTATTTTCATGTTAGGATGCGCTGATTTAATTCTTCAATATGTTTTCAATATTTTTTCCTATCTTACAGAGCATTAAAAATACAGGAAATTAAATTCATATAGGATGTATAATATTGTAAAATGTAAGAAATTAAATTTGATTAAAGCATATATAATATATGTAATGCACTGAATTCTAAAATGGGAAAATAAAGAGGGAATAAATCCAATGTAATTTCGATATTTTTGTCAGGTATGAGCTGATTTAATTCTGTGACCTGCTTTTAACATTAGCATTCCATGCAAATAAGTATTATGAGAAAGGAAGAGAGGGAGGAAAGGAGGAGGAGAAGAGGGAGAGAGGTAAGAGGAAGAAGAGAGGAGGAGAGGAAGAGTAAGAA